AGGAGCGACCGACTATTTCTGCTGGGTGATTTCAACGCGCGCGTTGGGCGTGATGCATCAGCGTGGACAGATGTTATCGGTGCGCATGGCATTGGTTCAGCGAATGCGAACGGTGACAGACTGCTCTCACTGTGTGCCACTCACGGCCTGACGATCACGAACACTCGGTTTGCACTGAATGCGAGTGATATAGCAACTTGGACGCACCCACGGAGTGGTCACGCTCACCTGCTTAACTATGTCATCGTACAGCAGGGTGATATACGTAAAGTGCACATGACACTGTACTGAGCTGAGTGTGGCATTGATCACAAATTGGTGAGGACCAAACTGTACATCTATTTTCGTAAATCAATGTATTGCACTCCCGCCGTGAATCGGCGTAAATTTAACATTCTCTCCATCAGTACTGGGGCGAAACGTACTGAGCTGGAGAAGGCGATGGCTGCACGCCTGTGTGTTGTGGAAGGCATAGCCACAGTGGGTGACCTGTGGCACCACATTCGCGACCAGGTGACAGCTGCTGCGGAGGAGACCATCAGGCGCACAAACTGTAAGCGGCCCGATTAGTTTGATGACAACAATGCGACGATTGGCGCATTGGTGTGTGAGAAGAATGCGGCATTTGCTGCACATGTCGCAGACCCCAGTGACTTGGGGAAGAGTAGTCAGTTTCGCAAACTTCGACGGCGACTCACCCGAGAACTCCGTCACATTAAAAATGCATGGTGGACGGAGAAGGCGAAGCAGATGGAATGCTACGCCGAACGCCGCCAGCACAAGGAATTCTTTGACTCCCTGAAGGCGGTAGATGGACCGAGATTGAAGCCGCTGAGGACCTGATCGATGGTAGTTCAAGCGCTACCTGCACACAAACTGCAGACATAATGCAGATCTGGCGAGAAAAACTTTGACTGTCTCTTGAACAACCGTTCAGAGATCGACTGGCCTACATTGAACGGTCTTAAGCAGTATGATGTGAAGGCGAAACTGGCAAACACGCCGACGCTGGATGAGAAGCAGAGAGCACTCGCTCAGCTGCGAAACGGCAAATGTGCTGGGGCCGATGGGATACCGCCTGAAGTATTGCAACGCGGCTTACCCGCGTTGTTGACTGCGCTGCACCACTTGGTGCAACGTGTATGGATTGAGGAGGAGGTGCCTTCTGAGCTGAAGGATACCCTTGTGCTACCACTGTACAAGGGCAAAGGTAGCAAGCAATGTTGCACGAATTATCGTGGCATCAACTTGCTGAGTAGTGTGGGAAAGGTGATTGCCCGAATCCTGCTCAACCGCCTCGTCAGTCAGGTTGTGAAACCTAACGTGGCGGAAGAGCAATGCGGATTCTGTTCGGGTCGCAGCACTATAGATATGGTGTTTGCAGCTCGTCAGTTGCAAGAGAAGTGCAGAGAACGACACCAGCCATTGTACTCGCTTTTTGTTGTTTTCACCAAAGCATTTGATACGGTGAACCGCGAGGCATTGTGGCTGGTGTTGTGTAAGTTTGGTTGCCCGCGTAAGTTGGTAAGTTTAATTGAATGTGCACAGTGGTGTGCGAGCGAGGGTGCAGCTGAGTGCAGAGACCTCGGATGACTTTGCAGTTGTCACTGGTGTGCAGCAAGGCTGTGTCTTAGCTCCTGCCCTGTTTGATATATATCTTCATGCAATGATGTGCTTTTGATGCCGCTTGTGCTTACGGTGTTCGTGTGGAGCACCGTATTGATGGTGTGTTGCTGAACATCCATCGTTTCGGTGCAAGAACTCTAGTCGGTGAGACAACTATCCGTATGTTGCTGTTTGCTTACGACTGTGCGTTGTTTGCACACAGTGCGGATGAGTTGCAGCACATGACCAGTGTTCTGGCTTAGACAGCCTCCAAATTCGGGCTCACCATCAACACAAGCAAAACTGTCTGTCTCTTTCAGCCTTCACCGGAGGTGCAATCTTCAATATTGCCGCGAATCAGCATTGATGCTGAAGTATTTGAAACCACCTCCCGCTTCTGCTACCTTGGGAGTGTGATGTCGACTGATCAGCAGATACACAGTGAGCTGCGTATCCGCGTGTGGAAGGCAGCGGCGACATTCGGGAAGTTAGAGTACCGAGTGTGGAACAACCATCAGCTTACTATTGTCACGAAGCTGATGGTGTACAAATCCATGGTACAGTCTGTTCTTCTATATGGCAGTGCAACGTGGACGCTGTACTGGCGAGATGTGCGATATCACTGGCGGTTCCGCCAACAGTGTTTGCGGCGGAGTATGCGCATCGGATGGGTTGACAGAGTTGCTGACACGGAAGTGTTGCGTCGAAGTGGCATGTATGCAGTGGACTGCATACTTTTATTGAGACACCTGAGGTGGATCGGTCATGTGAGCCGTCCGGATTCGACCCAGATGCCGAAACAACTCTTATATGGTCAGCTGAGTAGTGGGAAGCGGCAGGTGGGGAAACCAAAGTTACGTTACCAGGACATCATCAAAGTGAGCCTCTCACGTTCTAATCTTGATTGCAGATCATGGGAATCAAAGGCAGTTGATCGGCGTGCATGGCGCGATCTGATCACGAAGGCAGTTGCTGAGGTGCAGGAGAAAGCCCTCATGCATGCAGAGAAGAAGCGGCAAGTGCGGAAGCGACAAGCACCGATGCATTGTACTCCATCGACATCAAGCGCATGGTGCTGTAGCACATGCGGTCGCGAGTGCCTGAGTCAGGCATGCTTAGTGAACCATGAGCGAGGCCACTCGGGACCACTACCGAAGCGACGACGGGTTCTGCAGAGAACGTAGATAGAACCAGCGCAGCTTTTGTAGATACGCTGCGTTCGATTTACTAACCGCGTCCTTGCATGCGAAGTCTCTATATTTCATGTGTTGGGTTTTCAAGTTTGTTCTAATTCTTTTCTTTCTCAAATAACTGTCCACCTGTACACTCTTCTATAAACCTGTACAACCCGCTTAAGCCAATTGTTGTTAATTTCGATAACATTTTTGCGTTTGTGGCCTTTCCGTAAAATATACCTTCTGACCCCCTGAACTTATCTCGGATCCTTTGTTAACAACTTATTTCATATGATCATTAATTTAAGATTTTTGTCACTTTTCCTTATGCAGTACTCGATTTATTTTCTTTGTTAGCTTTCTCTCAAGTGATTGGCTGTTGTTTGATATCCTCGGTGTGGCTGCGCTGGATGTGCATGTTGACAAGGTGCTTACCTGTCTATTACCCACCACCTCGTCCATACGGGCTCCAGGAGACAGTTGGTCGTTGCTGGTGGGGACGCGGTGCATGGTCCTTGTGGCCGTGCTATGCTCGAAGAGCGGTTCCATGCAATGAGTGTGGAGCGGACTACGGTCCAGCCACCGCCTTGTGTGCGCTTGATTCCCATATACAGCGTGTTTGTGTTTGCCTGTGAAGGAGTGTTGGCCGGCTCCGTTAATGATACGTGGCTCCCATCCACATGCCGCCCGGTCTTATTCCTTCGGGTTTACACTGGAAATGGGGTGAGTGGTTGGAAATGTGGGTGGTGCGGCGGAATCCACTCATGGTTCCTCTGTATGCGCAGGCGTCCTGTGGCTGGCCACAGAGACAGGCAAATGCGAAACCGGATGCCGCCAACCATTATATATATATATATATATATATATATATATATATATATATATATATATATATGAATGCTAGCCTTGCCTGCGCACAACGCTGCATTACTGTAACACAAACCCGGCATATTTTGGATATCAGCTGATGTTTATAATCGAGGAGGGCAGCGTCGTCGCTACATTGTATGTCTAAGTTTCTCATTTAGGAGCACTTGTAATCGCCAAATTTCAAGTTGACAGGTTAATTGCATTATCACACGCGTTACACTATTATCTGTTGACTCGATGCTTATTGATGCATATAGACATGATTCGCTAACTGGGTTTCGCCCAAAGTACCGGTAGCCTTGAAGTCTGCTCAAATGTCGTTACGTTCCAATTTGACGGATGGGTTATATAAGCTTTATTTCCTATGACACCGTGGTTTACCAAGTTGAAATGGTGTCAATGTAGCACGGTCAAGTGTCTCTGTACCCGTCTATCACACACACACACACACACACACACACACACACACACACACTGAGGTCCGGACAAGTCATCAATCGCGATTCATCGATGGCAGCAACCCGCTGCGACCGTGCTGCATCAATACTACCGGTCGGATCTACTCTCTGGTATGTTGTCTTTGTTACCTTCTCAGGTTAATTCTAGTGCAATGACATGCCAAGACTAACAGTTAAACTGGATTTTCCTAATCTAGATAAGAAGTAAACCATTGTATTAGAAACCCTCAGTTCTGCCACTGCTGCATATTGAATCCATGTCAAATATTGTGTGTTTATTTTCTTTCCAATTCTGTATTGGTTGTTTGATATCCCAATGGTGACTGAGCTTGATGTGCATGTTGACAGGGTGCCTAGCTACCTATTACCCACCACCTCTAGGAGAAATTTGATCGTTGCTGGTGTGGTTGGGGGGCACGGTTCTCGTGGCCGTGCCAGGCTCAGGGATTACTTCCATGCAACCAATGTGGAGCAGACCACGTTCCAGCCACCGCCTTGTGTAAGTCTAGTAAACAGGCTTTCCCAATCAGACGGGAATGCTTGTTGAAGGGGTGTAGACCGGCTCCGTTGATGAAATGTGGCTCCCATCTGTATGCCCCCGTCTTATTCTTTCAGGTTCACACGGGATATGGGGTGTGTGGGTGGAACTGTGGGTGGTGCAGCGTGATCCACCCATGGTCCCTCTGTAGGCACAGGCTTCCTTTGGGCGTTCCATGGAGGCCGCAGTGGCAAGCAAATCCGGACGCGGATGCTGCCAAGCCATGTACTTTCTTTTGGCGCACAACAAATCCACTTGCATTTAAAGCGGAGTGGACTGATCGGGTCCGTACCTCAGTCATAACACACATCCGGATATAACAGAGGACAGATCAATCAATTACACAATTGTGCACTGGGAATGTACTGTAGTCAAAGGAACTGTGAAACTATAGTGAGGCAAGGTGTGGGTGCAAATGACATGGAGGGCATAGGTGAATATTTAGCTGAGTAACGATTGGCTCTCGGCCGTGCACTCTTACACAACCACAATGCTGACTGTACATCATTATGATTTGGGGACATCAGTTTGTTGTGTCACCTGAAACTTCCGCTGCGCTTCGTCTGCGTTCTCCCGTTGTTGCCTGTACCGCCTGCATGACATTCAGCGTCTCCTTTGCAGGAGTTTTCTTTTTACGTTTCAACAGGTTCGGGGGCAACGGACACACATCGTGATCGACTTCGGGGCGTGTGCGTTTCAGAACCCACCATGTCTGCATTTCGCCTTTGCCCTGAAAGTGGAATAGTGGGGTAAGGAAAAGCAAAAACACGGCTCTGTAGTAATGATGTTTACTTATCGCGATATACTGTCTCTCAGGTGATGCACGTGACCGATGTGTGACTAAAAGTCCTTACTATCGGGCCGACTACCGCTAGGTCATTTGTACACATTAAAGAAGTAATCTTTGCGTGTCCGCGTTATTACGTGCAATCAGTTGAAAGGTTAGCAGTGCAGACGGTTTATAACAACTATGAAGGAAAAAATAAACTGCATAAAACAAATGGAGATAGTGTGTTGCCGTTATGAGAACACTGTACACCGATGCACGCTTCGACCTTGTTTGACCTCATCAAGTGGAGACAGCGGGCCTCGAACCCGGGACCATCCGAATAGCATCCGAAACCTCTGTGTGAGCCCTCCACTGCGAGACATCTTTTCCGCATCGATACGGTGTTTAAGGCTTGTGTGACTAGGCTTTTACGAGGGACTTACTCTATTTAAATCAGCAGCTAGATTATTTGACTATATTTCTGCATGTGCGCTGTCGGCTTGACTCTGGTCAAGATTACGCGTCAGGGTTATATCTAGTTTTCCATGTGACCATGGCTTCTGACTCGGCTTAAACAGGACTGTACCCAACAATGCACTCAATACTGTCTACCAATTACACCTGCAATGATCTACGGAGTAGACCAGCCTTGAATTCGGCCTGAAATTTAGCATATTGCGCTAATTTGCCGACCCTGGCCGTGTGCCTCACGGATGAGTAGCACAGGAATTAGAATATCACTCGCTGAATTAGCAGTTGATATTTTTTCTGTCCGGTAGATTCTAACAGAAGTCTTGTTGCGTATTGAGGCGGAGGTTGTGCTGCATAGGTGCATGCTTGTTTTATTGCTAACCAATGCAGCAAAAATGTTTTGTATCTACAATAAATCGTTTTACTTAACTGGAAGAGTCGGTTTGGAGGGCCCGTCTTCGGAACTTGTGCTGTGTCGAATGGCATCAGGTCCACTCGAAACTACACCTCAACTTCATCGCGACAAGACTGGAACTTAATATGGTTCAACGGCTTGCGTGCATCAATGATTCATTGAGCTATGCTGGTTGGTGCTTTGCATATTCAGAGCCATTCCTGCGTAATTAAACAATAGTTAGAAGCAAGACAAACTCGATCTCCTGACTCTCCAATTTGGTGTTGGAATGAGGATGCTTCATTACCCCATAAAACGTAATCTCTGTAGCTCACTACCAAATTCCTGCTGCCTTGTAGTCAGGCTTTCGAACCGAAGGTTTTGCCTGAGCACCTTAATCGTTCTCTTGTCTTGGCCTGAGCAACCTGACACTTTGCTGCTCACGCGAAACAATACAACGAATTCCACTTCAAACAATCCCATGATGCACTTGGCGTCGAAAGGATAAGCAATGGTGCCCTATCTGCTGCATTGAAACGGGTGAATAGGTGTTGGATGCTACTACTTAGACCTTCCCGACTTCTTGCTATTTTTCACCCTTATCGTGCCGTTCCAAATTTAATTCAACCCCTATGTTTTCAAAACCGTAATTCTAAGCCCTCCCCATCTTGCTATGATAAGTGTTCGTCTTCTAGTTTCATCTCAAGCGTAATGGCGGGGCTTCACTCCGGTTCAGTCAACAAGTCCATGTTCAGCCAAGCGGACAATGTCAATGCATCCGTTTCTTTTTGGAGCCCTGGGTCCTGGCATAAGATAAGGTGCGCAATTTGTTATAGCTTGGCTAATAGGCAGCACTTGCCCGAACACTAGAGCCCTTATCGATCGATATTCGCTATTTGTTGGAAACTCACCTGCAAGATTCCAGTTCTATGCCTACGCTACGATCCCCCACATGCGACACTGGCAGCATTGGGTCATTGCGTTTGTCCAATGCTAGTCAATCCGGTGTGGGCGTTGTTTTGAGCCCCTGGAATGAAGCTGCCCTGATCGACTGAATCCCAATCGACAGCCGTATATGTGCCATAAGGCTGGCTGGTTCTTTCAGAGCTCACGTCGCCCTGCCTCCACCACGAGTCTGTGAAGTGACCAGTAGGCACGGCTAACCTCCTCCGAATAGCTGAGTTGCAATGGTAACTTAAAATTTTGCCTCCCTAATGTCTAGGCAGGGAAAGAAACTTCCAAATGACACACGTCCAAGGCTCCCACGTCCAGTGGGCGTATCATTGGTTCGGGTAGCGCACAAACGTAGTGAATAGACGCAAATGTAAATTACTGGTCGAGTTTTCTCCAATATATCTCTAGTTTCCCCACGAATTTGGATATAACACAGAAATTCTGATCCAGGAATGTCCAGGCATTTCACTCTGCCTTTACTGCCCCTGTGTGTAATATATTGCATTGCTTGGTTAATGCAGTTGGACCCTTGAATATTCATATGCAACAACATTGCTATCCTAGTTTTCTCTTTCGTATGAGTACAAATTTACCAGTTACAGATAACTTGAGTTATATTACTCGGTACTATTTTGCACTATTGTGGGTTACTCGTCTGAGGTTGGTTGATGGCTCCAATTGCTTCATATCCCTTCACCGTTCATCCCCTTCCAAGAGTCAGCCGCCTCCATAGTATCCACGATCTGCACCGAGGAAACTGAGAATGCGCGTGTGTCGATAGGAAACAATAGTCAAAGCCCCAAATGATCTTCGCAAACGTACCTATTGTATCCAAGCATATCATCCAACCATTGACAGCCTTGTATGCGTGAGCAGGTTGCAGATGTAACTACGATCCGCCCCTTTGTGTGCACCTTTCTAAGTCGCACTTGAAATATGTAATATTATTATTATGGTGCGCGGAAGGCAAACATCTTAACGGAAAAAACAAGCCACGAAAATAAGGAAGAGGTAAACAAACGAGGACACCAGGTAGGAAGGTGGACAAATCAATTCAAGGCCTACGGTACCTGCCGGCAAAGGTCCACGAATAACAAGAAATATCAGGCCTAGGCCGAGAAAAGCGTGGGATGTAGTGGTGGAAGCCCCGAATTTCCCGAGAGATACGCCTTTATCCAAGCCCTCAGGAATAACCCAGTGGAGCTTGAGGCAACCTCGACTTAGAAAGTCAAGGGCATTAGGACTAATCCAGACCGGTCCCATTAGGAGGGGCGGAAACGAGGATACTAGCACAATTCGTCGGACAGGGGCCCCTCGTTTTGGCTGAACTCAGGTGTAAATGTGACCGCCAACGAAAGAACAATGTGTGGTGCGTGGTGGGCTGGAAATGCCTTCTATATGTGCGCGCATGCGTGTGAGCCTGTGAACCGGTTGTTCGATGACAGTAAAGACTGTGCTTCCCTAACACGTCGTTCTCGCTGCATTATTAGTAGTAAACGGAATTACGGTAATAAGGATTGTATGTAGCCCAACATACATTACACCAACGCAACCATCAATATAGTGGAAAATTCATGCCACTCGAATAACCCGATGCACATATTCACCACCCTGGGCTACTGATGAGGCGTACAAACTCCGGTAGTGGGTCAGTGCCACCATTTCCACCCATCCTCCTTAAAAATCAGTTCCAAGATGCGATTTAGCAAAAAGATGAAGTTAAGGAGATTATCTTGCTGAGCATGAGAGGATACTGCTCACGTTTGGCCCCAAAAACACGCTTGATAAATAAGATATACATTGACCTCCAGTGTAACGCGTTGGGTACGTGGGTCATCAAATGCTGGTGGCACAACATTTTCGCCTAGTAGTTAAGCTCCCAAGCTTGATGAATACACGATGCGAAGATCCAAACGTTGTTGTTGAGCTACGCACATGCAGTACCTTCAAATCGCTCAAACGCATTCCATACCGAACCTTACTTATCTGCACACTTAGCTAACTAACAGCAGCACCAGGCTGGTGTCCATACAATCGATGCGCACGAAACCATGGACAATGGAGCACTTCCAAAATCCGAGCGACTGGAGGTGTACAGCCAAAGAATAGAGGAGTACTCGATCTTGTGACGTTGATTGAGTACAACAGATACGTTCTGTGCAATAATTGGTCACCTCTTCCAGCCAGTTTATGTGATGAACTATTGCACAGGTGGAGGAGTCTAGAAGGTCACGACAAAGCGATGAAGGCCAAGGTAAGGACCACTGTGCACAGGGAATGCGCGACCAATGCTGTGACAGTAACTAGATATGATGTATTGCACAAACTCATCCATCGTCGTCATGTACATGTGCAGAGGGCATGCACCCATACTGAGTTGCCACCGTCCAGTGGCATTATAATCTTTGGTAGGTATTGATGTTTACGAAGTAGTATACGTCGATCAAGGTGAGGTTCTCACGAACAAATATTCATTTCAGGTGTATGGAAGCGATGGTGGTGAACGGGTGCCGGTGGCGAGAGTATAACAAGCGGGAAGTTATCCAGCTACATGAGAAATCACAGTTGCATGCGACAAAGAAAAGCCGCTTACGGAAGCCACAGGCACCGACGCAATCTAGCCCAATGATTTCGGGCGAAAGGTGAGGTAGCACTTGCGTTCGCGAGTGTCCGATCCAAGCCGGTTTGGCAAACAACCGGCGTCACCATGCGGGTCCACAAGCCAAAGCGCGACGTGTCCGTTGAATGGGTATTCATCATCGGCGCCGCACCTGGTAAGTACGTTGCATTCGATTTCATTCACTGACCCTGGCTAATAATTTAGTCGTCGTGGTAGGTATGTTACATTGTCGCTGCAGCTGATTTGTGCGTATGTCTATGTGTTGAGTTCCTTGCGTTTCAGATGTTGGCTGTAGATTGGTATTTCAGGTGTGATTGCGCTTGGTGTGAAAGTTGACAAGCGCTAAACCTGCTTAACAACCAACCTTGATTATTGGCACCGTGCTACTGCTACTCGTAGCTGGGGGAACAGAGTGCATAATCCCCGTAATTGTGTTAGTCTCAAAGAGGGGTTCCATCCCCTGTGGAGTGCGCTACGATACAATCGCCGCCATGTGTACGTCCGATATCTATGATTCCCCAG